GTCAACGGGCTAAAAGGCCATGTGGGGGGGGGGTACAATCTTATTGCATGAGGTTCATAAAGTCTGTCTTGGGTACAAACTATAAACTGAAACAGAATAGCTTGAATTGGGATTGAAATTTGGGAATTTCAGTTACAATGCTCTCCGATTATTTTGTTGTGATAATGAGTTATATCAAGTATAATTTATAAATTAAAATTTTTAATAAGTAAAATAAAAAGCTGATACGGAAATATACGAATAGTAAAATGTTGATGTGTACAAAGCTCAGGGACCTTAATTAGAAACTGAAATTCAATTAGGTTTCAATCAAAGAATTATACCAACTAAGGACTGGAGACAAAGTTTCCCCAACAATTGTTTTTTAAAGAATTATGGTGAAATTATCATATTGATTTGCAATACCTATTTTCAAGGGCTACATTAGTCAATTTTCAATTTTAGGGACCCCCTTAATGAAATGGGTTAATTTCAATGACCATCTTGATGGTGTAAGTCAATTTTAAAGACCATTTATGATAAAAACCCGTAAATCTTGTGGGATCCATTTATGTGCCACATCAACACTTAATGTAATTTTTAACATGAATTGTGACAAAATGACTATATTGATTTGTGACACCTATTTTCAGGGACTACATTGATTGCTTTTCAATTTTAAGGATCATTTTGACGATGAGAGTCAATTTCAGGACATTTATGATATAAACCCTGGTGACTAAATTGTATAGGGGGTGTGCTATCCACAAACCCTTTTTACTTCTCACAAACCCCTTGTTAATTTCTGTCATTTGATCTTCTTCAATTCATCCGATTTGATGGCCGAAAACCAAAAAGATGTGGAGAAGTAGAAAGGGTGTGTGAATATCACACACCAATTGTATATTGCAATCCTTGATGTATTGCTTTTGGGCCCCGACCATGTTAATAGATACCGGTTCGTTCACCTTGATCTGACCCGTTAATCCGTAAAAGCTCATGCACCGTTTTCAGACTCTGTCCATCGCTCCCTTCGTTTCTCAAATCACAAACAAACCTGAGATTCTGAAAAGACAAACTGCTTTTCCCTGAAAATGCCGACACCCGACGACATTGGAAAGCTCCCAATCGACATCACCCTTTCTCGTCTCGGAGGTACACAAAACCATCACAATTCAAAAAATGTTCCGTTTATTTTTGGAGAATTTTTTCAAACTTTAATTTGGGATTGGTAATTAATTACGTTGGGATTGAATTGAAGAATGGCTGGTTGATCGGAAGAGAATACCTGGAGATTGGAGGAAACGATTGGCGGCAGTGAGAGCTCGAATTTCAAAGGAATTCACTTCTCTTCCCAAAGATATCAATCCCTATTTCCATAGCTTGGAATCTGATGGTTGGTTTGTCAAATTTAATCTGTGTGAATTGTGATTACATGATTGAAATTTGAATTGGGTTCTGTAAAAAATTGTAATTTCGGTTCAATTTGTTAACTGGGAATGCAATTTCCAGGAATTGGTTACTTAGAGGCCAAACAAATATATGATATTCTTGTGAAGTCAACTCCAGAAAGTCGGAATATTTTCGGCCGGCTATCGGGTGCTGCTGTGAGAACTTGACACTCTCTTAAAATTTTTATCCTCTGAAAATTTACCTACTTTACTTGCAATGTTAAATCTTTTTGTTTTTATGTTTTGTTTGGGCAGGGTGCTTGGGAATCGATTGTACGTTCATTTGAGAAGGATTATGTATATCTCGGCGAGGCTGCTCAGATAATGGTGCAAAATGTGAACTATGAGATGTAAGTTTGTGGTATTGCCATTGGTTGCTTGGTTCAAGATAAGAATAGTATTAGGATATTTATTTATTTATTGGGTAAATACTAAGGGTATTTCATTGACGCGAATGTGATCTGTATTGATTTCATTTTTGTTGGTCGTTGTTGTGAAGTCCGTATCAGAAAAAGCAGGTGCAAAAGATTCAGCAGCAATTAGCAGAACTAGACCACAAGGAAGCTGATATTAAGAGAAGTGCAGCTCTATCGGCAGCTAAGTATGTAGAGGCTTGCCAAGAGCTTGGACTGCAGGTCATATTCTGGACCTCCCTGCGCATGGTTTTCTAACTTGGTTTGATAGGTTTTCCTTGTTAAATCTGATGCATAATAGTATCTGCCTATTGGTTCTTTCTTTAGGGAAAAAACGTGAGGTTGGAGCTTTTAGAAACTGCAAAATCACTTCCAAGCACATTTAGCAAGATTTTGGGAGTGTTAAATGGTGATTCTATGTCAAGGGCTCTGGAGTATTATTCTAACTTTGTCAGAGATGCTCACACAGAAAAGGATGTAAGGAAATAATCTGTTTCCTTTTACGAATACTAGCTTACTTTATTGATTTTAGACGCTGATGGAATGTTGAGATCATTATGACTAATATGATAAATCAATTCTGTTATTTGTGAATGTGATCACAGAAATATTTAGATGTGTTGACAAACTTGAAAGATGTACGTGAACATCCCCCATCATTGGATGTCCCTGTGGGCTCAGAGGTGGTTGATTCCGGGAATGTTCAATCAAGCAACAATGAGATACACAATGCAGCAGTTGAAATAAACGAAGATAGTATAGATTGGGATTTTTCTGTGGAAAGTTCTCAGATTGATTGGGATATTGGTATGGTGGAGGAAACAGATGATACTGGTAATGGTTTGGGTCCGTACGAAATGGTTAATGCGAGTGAGGTGCAGAGTTCTGCAAATGAAGGTGTGAAGTCTGATCCGACCCCAGAGGTCTCTGTATCAGAGATATCTTGGGATATTAGTGTTGATACTCCTCAGGTTGACGTGATTGATGATATCAATTTGTCAAATGTAATCATGGACAATCAAACATCTGCTCTTGATAATTCAACTCAAACAACTGAAATCAAGGAAGGTAGGAGCCAACTTTTGGAGACAGAGTACAGGAACAAGATTCTTGATGATCTGAATGAGGTATATGACACTTCTTCATATTCTTGCATTTGGATTTATTTGCTCCATTTTGTTTTTTTTCCCCTTCTTCTCTGTCGGGACTTTTGGGAAACATAGAGAGAAAGATTCTATTAGTTCCCGTTTGATATCTGTGGTCTCATCATGGAGCTTCCCTTTCATGAATTGATGTTTTATATTGATATTCGACTATCAGGTCAAAGCTTTTTTAAATCAGCGGTTAGTTGAGTTAAAGAATGAGGATACTTTGTCCCTGCAACATCAAGTTCAGGCTGCTGCTCCCTTTGTGCTGCAGCAATATGCTCATGATGCTATTGAAACAATGCTGTCTGATGTGTCCTTGGCTATTTCATTGCTGACAAACAGGAAGACACGGGACTTGATTATGATTCTCAACTCCAAAAGGTAATACCAAATATTTTGAGTATAATTTTCATCTTAAGGCTTAAGTCTTCTTCTTGTTGCAACTCTAGATTTGGCTAATCTTATTTCTGATAATTTTATTTTTGTTTGGTCTTAATGAATAGGTACAGGTCAAATTTCTCATCTGTTATAGCTGTATCATTTAGCATGTTAATTTATACTTAAGTAGCTATACCTTTATCCTGGAACCCTGGATTTTTTATTTTGTTTCTGTTCTGTGAACTGAAGTAGAATACTAATTCATGTCAACCTTAATTTCAGGTTTCTAGACAGATTGGCGAGCTCATTGGAAGAAAAGAAGCACCATGAAGTTAAGTTGAAAGCGAGTCTGAATGGCATAGCTGGCAAACGCATGGAACTGCAGAATTCATTATCTTCTTCCTGGCCTAAGCAGGTGACGTTCTTGAGTTTTCAGATTACACTACAATCCGTCATTTTATGTTGTCTAAATTTTGCGCCTCTGGCCCTATTAAAAGCCATGCTTCTCCCTGTGTGTGCGATCGCGCACATGCCCCATGTTTGTGAAGAGTGTTGCAGCTCTTTAGTTGAGTATTTTCTTCTAAGTTCAGAAAAATGTGCATACTCGAGAAGTTAAATAAAACAGAAGGCTTAAAGCTTTAGGTAGATAAATGTTTGGCATAAGCTAGAAGTATTTTGAAGTTTTGGTTTTTTTGTTTTTTGTTTTGAGGTTTTGACTCTTTGAAACGCAATTTGTATCAAGTATCACTATTAATACTGGCTGTAGAGTGTGGCTTGTGTTCTAAGCCCGTAAGAGTTGTACCATTGCATTAATTGTTCTTTGCAAAACAAAATGAAATGAAACAGTGAGATCTTGTGGTGGGTTGTATTCAGTAACTCCTAAGCTAGCAATGTACTGTTCAGATTGAGGTCTCTTTATTAAAGTGTGGCAATAGACTCATGTCTTGTTGTGTTGTCAAGTTACAATACCGATTAAACAGGCTTAGTTATTGTGTTTAATCTGCTTCTTGTGTTAGCCGGTTGTATTCTTGTAAGTTTTGCGTTAACTAATAACCAACACCTCTATCAAGTTGAGCTCATGTTGTGTGGAAAACTGCCACCTCTTCTCAATTTACTTCCTCGCTTTTTTTGTTATTTTCGGTTTGAATTTTTGGCACAAAGCACTAACTCGTGGTTCAATTGCAGGAAGCTGCTCTTACAAAAACCCGTGAACTGAAGAAACTGTGTGAAAGCACCCTTTCATCGATGTTTGATGGAAGACCTGTTAACATAATTGGGGAGATCAATACTCTTTTGACTAGTGGCCTTACTGCGTAAGGGGATGAAAATTGACGTTAAAACGTGTTAATGTAGTTGGAGACATCATCAATGCCCGTTCGACTAGACTGCAGTGTGGCATACGATGCATAGGAAGATACTTGTACCCTCTCATCCATGTTTAATCGAAGACCCGTTTACACAATGAGATGTTTGGTTCTTATGATATCAAAGCATTCCTTATTATCTTTTTTTCGGTAACTTGATTCCTGTTTTCTTAAGGCAAAGAAAGACCGCCAAATATGTCAATGCATGAAAGGAAGGGCAGTGCAAAAGAATATAGAGAACTAAAAGAAGCTGATTGTAGAGTGGAACGTCTTAGCAAACATCTGATCCGATCGACGCTGTAGATTTGGTTTGTGAGTACCGGTGGCTTTGTCAAATGGACAAATAGCTCACTGTAGGTGAGCCCATGAACTGGCTGTTGAACGAACGGAATGATCTCTCGAACGGGTCATCTGCTCCATTGCCTTTCCCCATGGCATTGAGTTTCTCTATTAGTCCTATTAGTGATCCCACAACTTCAGACATCGGCGGTCGGAATTCTTTCACAGGCTGTTCATGTTTCAGTGACCACAAAACCCACCAATTAACGTTGTCACATACAAGTTAAACAAAATCACTTCTTAAAATCTTAATCCTTTGTTCTTTTCCGACTTCCCTAGACAGAGATTATCTCAATGCATAATTTGAGGTATGTGCTTTGTACCTGGATACAGAGGGAGACAATGTCAGCAAACTGGGAGAGATTCTTGGAGGAAAATGTCCTTTTAATGCCTGGATCGATCATCTCAGCCAGACTCTCAACATCATGAAGCCGGAATGAAGCCCATTTCACCAGCGATTGCTCCTCCCTTGGTCTTGAACTACACATGATAAGTGAGTCTGAATATGTTCATGATCACGAAACACTGACATAATAACTTTGAGAAATGAGAAAAAAGGGCATAAACCATACGTACCCGTCAAAAGCTTTCCTTCCTGTTAATAGCTCCAAAAGCAACACTCCAAAGGCATAGATGTCACACTTTGTGTTATCAATTCCCGGTTGGCCATTCTCAGGTGCAATGTAGCCAGTGTCACCAATAGCATTTTCCGAAGCCTGTTTACATCCAATATCAATGAGAATTTAGTTTAAGCAGTTTAAGCTCAAGCTGTTTATTGGTTCCAGTTATTACCAATTGTTCTATTGGAAGTATAAAACTTTCAATGATGCTCTCTAGTGGAATATAGTACTGGTTTATGAAAGCATAGATATACCTTTAGCTTGAGTCTATTGCTTGTAAGTGGCCTCAAAATTGCAAGTCCGCAGTCACAGATCCGAGGAGCAAGTTCTTCATCAAGTAAGATATTGGCACTCTTCAAGTTGCTATGAGCAACTGGAGGTGAGAACGTAGAGTGCAGATAGCTGAAAAAAACAAAAACCAATCAAATTAGTAACGAGGATAACTATATTCTCCCACACAGAAGCCATCAATTGTTTACCTAGGAACTTGGAAGTCAATATCATTGAAATTTATGGTATATTAATCCACGTTTCATTACGAATTATGAACTTGTTGGGAGAAAACTACAGAATACTTACTCCAAAGCTTGAGCAACACCAAGAGCAATCTGGAGACGGAGTGCCCAAGACAGAGGCTTGTAAGCATCAATGTGAAGAGCATCATCAAGGGATAAATTTTTAACATACTCGTAGACAACAAGATGCTGCCCATGCTCTATGCAATAGCCAACAAGTGGTACTATGTTTGGGTGCCTTAAACGTGAAGCAGTCCCTATGACATCCAAGAATTGTTCCTCTTCATTGAAAGACAATCCTACAATGTTGATGTTCTTCACAGCCAACGTCTGTAATCAAGGTATAACAGTCAAATAATTCTACCGAGTTTCATAGGAGTTTATTTCTATAAGGTGGAAATAACTATTCCAAGGCAGGTTTATACCTGGCCATTAGGAAACACAGCTTTGTAAACCGAACCAAGAGATCCTTCGCCCAGAAAGTTTTCTTCACTAAAGCTGTTTGTAGCTAATTGAAGCTCTGCCACAGTGTAAAGTTTTGCTCTCACTGGGTATTTGTATTTATCAGAGGAACTTTTTCTTCTAGTATTTTTCTGCAGTTTGCTATGGTAAACCGGAGCCAGTCGCCTTGGAAGTAGCATTGGTGACCTGAAGGGAAACATTGGTGGGCTTTCTTCTGCAATAGAAGAACCATCTGTAACCAAAGGAGGAAACAAAAAATTGGAAGAAAGAAGGATTAAAACACACGAAGTGGATTAAGATTAAAACTTCACGTCTATTGTCTGTTTTTATAACGCATATATAAACACCATGTGGACAAACCATACACAGATAGCATCAGTGAGATGATACCATATGTTATCTGGTAAATATTCTGAACTTTGAGATTGAGTCTTAACAGTTGGCTCATTTAAATATTCTTTGGACTTCACTAGCACAGGAATACCCTTTAATTGAATGCGATTGGCAAGTACCACATTCAGGGCTGTTGATGACTTTGTTTCATTCTATTGAGGAGAATTTGTTAACATCAATCCCAAATTTCAGTAACTTTACACCGACCAGCCAGTTCAATTTTTTCGTAATTATGATGTTTGGGTGTGCGTGTGTGTGTGTCTACTTCTATTGTTTACTTAACATTATATCCATTATCACTGTGCAAGTAAGTGAGAACTCACCTCTGGCAGTGGTTCGTATCGGGAGCGAATTCCTTGAGCTGTTACTTCCCCCCAAGATTATAAGCCTCTGTGTACGGGATTGATTAATGCGAACTGCAATGTAAAGTGCCACACATGATGACACTAGAGTGCCTCCACCAACCAAAAAAGCTATTCCTCCAGGACTCATCCTTTTCTTCTTGTGTCCTCCTAATTTCATGGGAGGATTCTTCTCAATGGCACTTGACAGAGTGGCTGGGGTGGCTGGGGTTGTGGGGGGCGCAGGAATGTTTTGTATGACAGAACTTGCCTGTGTTTCCAGAGGAAAATCCCAAGGTGGAGAGTTATCCCCAACATGAAAAATATTACCCCCAATCCTGAAAGGAAATTAAATCTACAATGTTTAGTTCTTTTTTCCATTGCAGGCAAATAAGGAGACGTACTCACAACTGAACACCTACCATAAATTTGGTATGGACTGAAAATGATTTGGAATGATGCCGCTGAAATAATTATCTTGTATGTTCCTGCCAACAGAAAATGTGCCAGCAAGAAATTAAGAAAAAGGAAAAAAGATCAACTAAATGCAAAACGCTGCTAAAGGCAGGTAGGTAGAAACCTACAGATCAGTTAGTGGAAGCTCGGCTAGATAGGCAACTGATCCAGTGAATTTATTGTTCTGCAAGAACCTGCAGATGCACCCATGGACATGTAACTATAGAAATACATTATACCAAGCCGTAAAACACTGCAAGCGAGCGGAAGGGAATGAAAACTCACAATCCAGTGAGATTTGTCATGGAACCAAAAGAACTTGGTAGATCTCCAGTGAAGTTATTGTATGACAAATCACTGCATAAACCAAACTCACAAATAAGAAATGGATATTGTCCAATGACAATATTTTAAATATCAAACAGATAATTTCATCAAATGACAATTATGCTCTGCTTCCCTTCATTTAAGATAAAAGAAAAGTCAAAACCTCTGATATACCAATACAGAAGACTAAAAGTTGTGGGAATTTTACATGGCATTTTATTCCACATCAACTTAGAGAATCAAAGTTAAAACCTTATTTCAGTTTCACTTAGAAATTAGAATCCAACATTAAAAAACTATGTGAAAAGAAACGTACAGTTCTCTTAAATTTTGTAGGCCGGTAAATACATTGCCAACAGGTCCTGATAACAAATTGTGGCTTAGATTCCTGGAAGAAAGGAACATTTCAGTTTATCGCAGAATAACCAAGAACCCATAAACCAGTAAGATAACAGGGCCGGAACAAGCTACTCACAAATGTCGGAGACTTTTCATGGTAGGTAAAGAATGGGGAATATTTTGGGTCAAATAGTTGCATGCCAGATTTCTACAAGTGCAGAATTATAAAATTAGAAGGGAGTAAAGAGAACCCAATTTGTGGAATTTAACCAAAGAATTGTATGTGGCAATGAGCTAACATTGTACTTACATATGGGTGGCATTGGGGGGCAAGACATAAGGAATTTCACCCACAATGTAATTGGAACTAACATCCCTTTAAGAAGAAGAAACCAGATGAATATTAAGATTCAGCAACACTTGTGTATTCAAAGTAAAAAGACCGCAAAATGGTCAGTTAGTATCACTTACAGTTGCTTTAAGTTGAACATACTGTAGAGCTCCTCAGGAATATATCCAGAAAGGTTCAGACTATGAAGCTTGCTGCAATATTATTAAGGTGATCAAAGAAAAACTAAAGTTTTGTACATAGTTAATAATATAGTGAATGGAAGAGTTGCATTACTTACAGGTATATCACAGAGGACCCCGAACATGAAACTCCATCCCATGACTCTTCACAAGGATCCCCTCCATCCAATCGCCACCCCTTCAGCTCCTGTGGGTTGTTAAGGGCCCGGTAAAAATAATGAAGAGCCGTGACTGCAATGCATAGAGTACAATTATAAGGTAAATTTCATGTTTGGTTCCCTAGAAAATCTAGGGTAAGTACTAAGAACCATAAGACTACTATTGTTCTGGGTTTGTTAATTTCCTGTTTGGTTCCTAAGAAAATCTAGCGTAAGAACCATAATTCTATTCCGGAAAAAAATTGCATTATTTTCTTAGCATCCAAACAGGAAATTGAACCATTATTTCGATTTTTAGTGACCACAATACCCTGCAAAGCACAAAGACTGCTATATTTTTCTATTTCTATACGGTATCTACAACGACAAGTCGTTTTCACAAACGACGGTTCTGTTTATTTTCCCGCCAAAGCGGTCGCCCAATTTCTATCCAAAAGAAATTACGGCAAACTGTAGGAGTTTCCAACCTTTCTGTTTGGTTACTGGTAAAATCCCTGGAAAACTAAAAATTCTATTCCTCAAATTAAAAAATCAAAATTAAAACTCTGTTCTTCCCTCTTTAATATAATCGTCAATAATAACAGAAAGTTTATAGGTTCGGATTCTATCCTATCTCTCTAAGCCTTTCTCTAATTTCCCTACACTTTCTCGGTAACCAAACAGGAGATAACGGACCTCCAAAACAACGAACGTCATCAACTTTCGCAGTGACAAGGTTCCATATATACAGAACGCCGAGAAAATCAACAAGTAAAGAAATGATCGGAAGAAAATCAAGACTTACCGTCAAGCGGATCGGTAAATGCTCCGGCGCCGGAAACCAGGACCGACGAGATGAAAATTACGGCGAAGCACACGCACACACTCCTTTTGGCGGCCATATTCTCGAAGAATCCAACTGCAGTAGTTAATCGTAAGGAAAATCGTCAGAAACCCCCGAACGAAGTGAAAGTGAATTTTCTTTCGTTTTCCCGCATTTTCTTGGCAACCAAACGGAATGGAAAGTGCGAAGAAAGACAGTAAAACTGACCGAAACGCAATGAAGAATACATTTCTAGGAGACGAAACGGACGTCGGAGTTATGAATTGAAATGCAGAAAAGCTAGGGTTTGTAGGCGACGAGATGTACGTGTGGAGGAAGCAGCGGGCACGGAGAGCGAGCAGAGAGGGTTTGGAATGCGTGCTGTGGAGGTTGCAGAGAGTAAGAGAGAGAGAGAGAGAGAGAGGAGAGAGAAGAATGGCTTAAAAGTCGTTGAGTAGCTGGAGTCCACGTAGGCATAAAGCCGGTTGGTTCCGTTTCTTCGAGGGGGCCGCTTCTCGGGGTTTGTTAGAGTACTGGGCCTAAATAAAAGGCCGGGCACAAGCCCAAATTATTGGGCCTACAAAAATTAGTTTTCTTATGATGCTCCGAAATATCGGATATTTTAAGTCTGTTAATTTTTAGTACATCTTTGTTTTATGTTTTTATTATAAATCTCACAGTTAAAAATTTCGGAATATCCTATATTTCGAATATTATTTTGTTTTTTAACGTCCAAAGTTGCTCATGAATTTCATGTTATCGCTTGGAGTTTACATTTTTTATTTTACTTGACCACTTTCTTTCATGTCTTCTATGGTGTAACAAATTTGTCAATAATGTAATCAGTAAGTAAAATTCAGCTTCTTGCACAGAAAAAAAATTGTTTAAATTAAATTTCAACTAGGCTAACAATTTCAGAATTAAAAAGATATTAGTTCAACAAGATGTAGGAGTTCTGAGATAGTGAGTTTGCTTAACTGTCTCATGATCTCTATGGGTCTGGAAGAAGTAGACAACCGTAACTTTTCACTAATTGTTCTCTATTTTTGGAATAAAAAAAATTAAAGAGACTACTTTAAACCTTTAGCTTCAAAATAATTATTAAATCTCCATTATGCCCTTGTTTATCCCTACTAATTAATAAAACACTCATTGTCAACTAAAACTCTATAAAATTACCAGTTTAACCCACTAATTAAAACAGAACATGAATAAGAAATATGGGGTAGAAATGTAATTTTACACAACCAAAATTTGTTTTTTTTTTTTTTCAAAACCTCATCTACATGTAATCCTAACATATTTCTAATTTACCAAAAAAAAAAAAAAAAAAAAACCTTTCCACTCCTACATTCTCTATTACTCTCTTCCTCTCTATTTCAATTTCAAAAACAAAAATAAAAAATTTTCTCTTACGCCCATATGCTTGTAGTTAAAGAAGAAAACGAAATTTTATTCAAACATTTCAAGGGGTGCTATAGTAATTAAATGTCTCGAAGAGGAAGAAAATAATACGAAAATACTTCAAGAACGCTTACTGGTTTTGATTTTGCTTGGCGAACCTGCCCGACAGCTCTCAGGCTATGGCAGAAGAAGATGATTACATGGGCGACCTCTCTCAGTTCGTCACTTCAGAAGTCACCAGCCCTCTAAAATCTTCATCCAAAAAGGTACGCTTGCAAGCTTAATTTTCTGTTTGGTTCCCTAGAAAATCTTCCGGAAGAATCATAGAACCTAGTTCTGGAATTGTCAACCAGTTTATCTCTAAAATGTGTAATCAAAATGGTTAATTGCAACCAAATGGAGCATGATTTTTGTGTTTTAAGCTAATTCTTGGTTTTGCTGGTGAACAAATTCTCTAACCTAGTTTTGGTGAACAGATTTTGAATACCAAAAACCCCAGTAATTTTCAACCCTCTAAGAAAAAAGCTAAACTGCTAAACTGGCAAGAACAACGTAGAATCGATAGGGAGCGAAAGCAACAGGAAGAGGATGAGAAAACATTGGCTAAAATAGAGGCTGCCCCAATTCCACAATCCAACATTGGATTCAAACTTTTGAAACAAATGGGGTATACCCCGGGTTCCGCTCTTGGAAAGGAGGGCTCGGGCCAGGCTGAGCCGGTGAAGATTGATATTCGGCGCTCACGAGCTGGGATTGGGCGGGAAGACCCGCATAAGGAGAAGAGGAAGCGAGAGGAGATAAGGACTTGGGCAGAAAGGAGGACTGAGGAGGCTATGATGGAGGAGTTTGGGTCTAGGCAGAAGTCACAGTGGCGGAGCAAGAGAGTTGTGGTTAATTTTAAGAAGGCACAGGCAGCGTTGGATCAATTGGAGAATAAGGAAGTTGTGCCTCCGGAGAAGAATGAGGACGGGGAAGAGGAGGGGGGAGAGGAGGAAGAGGAAGAGGAAGAAATTACAGAAGTGGTATGTTTCTTGAATTGTTTGTGTTTTCTTAGACTATAACGTGTTTAAATGAGCATCTTTTTTTATGCAGTATCTATGTATGACTGAGTTTAGCTCAAAGGCATGCTTGACAAGCATAGCAAAGAACTAACTGAATTAGATGATTTTCATGCAAATTAGAAATTCTTACAGTGTTCATCCAATGGCAATTACATTGTGTGTGTGTGTGTGTGTGTGTGTGTATATATAACATAACTATCTCCTGCTGAATGTGTACTTGAAATCCTGAACTTATAGTACCCAAATGCTAAGAGGCTAAAGCACTTCCTTGGAGCTGTAGAGTTGAATGTTCTTTTAAATTGATACATGACATTGTCTTGGAGGCAAAAGCACTTGGGTGTTAAAATGTACAGAAAGCCGAGAAGGCTTCAACAGAGAGTAATCAGACAAAGCCTTGTTTGACGGAGGAATTCGTAAGTTGCATAGGTTGTGCAAAATTGATTCTCTCCCAAGAAAATTAAAGTCAACTAGGAAGCGGAGATTGGAAGTTTTTGCAAAGTAGGACAAGAAGGAAGCATACCAGTGCCCGATATTTCGTTATTATACAATCTTCTGAAATTATTGGCATAATAATTGGGACTCTAGTCTACAAAGCCCAGCATTAGAATTAGATTCTTAAAAATTGGCCTAAGAACTGATACTTCTTAGTGGGTTTGATAGTATCAGGTTGTCAAACTCTAGTGCCCTGGCTTGCAGTTGCAAGTTGCAACGAATGTACAGATACGTTGGAAGTCCCTAGGCTGCAAAAATTGTATTGGAATCAAATCATTCGCTTTTTTAATTTCCAAAGTTTTTCTTTTATAGCTGAACTGTTTTGAAAGATGTTTGATTAGATATGCTTATGCAAAATTCAATTCTGCATATTATGATGGGTGGATTGAGATTGTGTATGCAGATAAAGTGTAATAATACCTCCAAATTGATGTCAAAGTCTTATCTGACAGTGTATTTCTATTATCATCAAAGAAATAAGTTCCTTTAAGCCTGATACTATTTGTTTTGCTTCTCCAGTTGTTCTATATCAGTTTTTTTGAATGAGGTGGCTTTCATGCTTATGTTGAGTTCATGTCTTTTGGAGACTCTGAACAATTTAACCACCAAGAGATAAAATTGGGGAAATTTTAATTGATAGCATACAGATTTTTTGAAGTTATGCTTGCTAGATTCTCTTCGTTTGGCGTATCAGGCGTTAGGTCTGTTTCCAGCCCTTGTAACTTCTTGTGCAATTGCATATGGGTTGAAAACGGTTAATTCTAAGTCAAGGCTTTTAAGACTTGTAGGGTGCAATGTTTCTGCTCCTTCCTTTTCTTGACATGCTGTGATTTTGTTGCTTGGTATTACTTGGAAAAGTTGACTTATTAGTTATCCTTGCTCTGTGCTTGCTGCAGGATTTGCAAGAGATATTGATGAAACTGAGAGATGAACATAGATACTGCCTCTTTTGTGGATGCCAGGTAACCGTATTTATCATTTGCATTCCAAGAGAAATTTTTTTTGCTGAAATAGCTTGTTTACAACTGTGGACTGCTATTGATACATTTCTGATGGTCATGTTATGAACTGTGCTCTGCTTCAGTATGACTCAACGGAGGCACTGTTGTCGTACTGCCCTGGAACGGATGAAGACGACCACTGAACTAAGTTCCCTTATGCATGGACCCCCAGAATGTATTCCTTGTTTGACAAGGTAATACCGAGCGGTAATGCAGGTCTTCTTGCTTTCAATGGAGATATTCTTGCATCCAATTGATCCGGAAGTTCCTAAGATCCGACGTGCAAATTTCTGAGTCAGAAACCCGAATTAGGTTAGGGAAATCCCTATAGTCCAGACCTCTGAGAGCATTATTTGAATTAGCTCCCAAATCGAAGTGTGTGGATATATAGCCAAATGCAAGAGCTGAAGTTCAACAATCCAACTTTTATTGAGATATGGAAAGCCTTGCCGATGCTATTTTTTAAATTTATTCTTTCGTTTTGTAAGGTTTGTAAAAGTTGGTTAAGAGCATTCTGTGTTATACAAGAGGTACGGAGTTCCAATCTTCTTCACAATATCGTTTTGTTTGTAATATTTTGATCAATAATTCCAACAACCAATTAGTGTTTGCTCATCACACCCATCCAATTCCTTAAAAAAAAAAAAAAATTTGATAAGATCCAATTCCATAAATATTGAGCAGTTTCATTGAAACTTTTACATTTGTTAAGACACTCACTTAAAATTTGGATATTTAACGACTTATGTGTTACAATATAAAATGACTTTTTGGATCCTGAAAGCTTGAATAATATTTTGTTTTAGCAATATACTCCACAAATAAAACGTGATAACCAACATCTCAATAATTTTTGTTTTCTTTCTAAAAAATGCTATTGTTACTACATTTTTCATACTACATTTGTACGATCTCTCTTATAGGAGATGGGCTCATATTTATAGGTGGCCGTACCTCTATTAGGGACATTTATGAGACAGTAAATTGGGACGCGCTATGCGAATTTAAAACAAATGCTAGGGTTTGTAAATGAAACTTTGGAGGAAGTAATGGAGAAGGCAGTATTCTAAACATAATGAGGTTGCACTAGGTTGGGCTCATCGAAGATCGACTTGTGAAATAAATTACAAGCCAAGCCTCTGTTTGGTTCAATAAGAAACAAGTCAAGCTTGAACATCGGTATGTTCAGCTAATAAAATTTGTCAACAACTTGTATTTTTTGCGAGACAATTCAAACTAGCTAGATTTATATCGAGAAATTTGCTTGGAATGAAAGGTTAGGTTTGTGATTTTGTTTTGGAGAATTTTGTTGTAAGTTTAGAGTGACTATCCACATATAACAAGGATTATCAGTTTATCACAAACTGCATGTAGGCTCATGGTATCCAATTGGCGGCACACTTCATCAAATTCAGTTTAAGTTGACCAAACTTAATAAAATCACGTGAGTAAAAAGAAGATTTTCTTACAAGTGGTGGATTCCTCCGGTGGTTAGAGTTTTCATCTTCAACCCACTGTCTTCCAAGTTCAAACTCTTCTCCTTTTCCCATTAGCATAAGTATTTCTCAATTTCCATGCCCTTTTATTATTCAAACTCCTACTCCGCAATGTATTTGTTGACTGAATCCAGTACGGTTTCTATTTAGTTTATAGTAGACGAAATCCTATATAAATAAATAATACTGGTACTGCTAGGGTTTTGGACCAAAAGGCTCTTCTCGATCGGTATTGCTAGCTGCTTGTTGCACGTTTGGAGGCAAAATGCAGGAGCGTGATGAGTCGATTATCGTCAGCGGTGAGGTTAACCAAGGAAAACTATCCTTGATTAAGTGTTTACACCAAGATGTCCTAGTAGAAATTCTCTCAAAACTACCTGCAAAGTCTTTGATTAGATTTTCATGTGTCTCAAAAGAGTGGTATGCGCTTACCAAAAGCTCTTATTTCATTGCTAGACACCTTCATCGCTCTGCTATCAATCCTTGTGTTCTCCTTGTTTCAGGAATTAGCACTGAAAGATATAAGCCGAAATCACTTGGAGTCGCATTGCTTCGTGACGAAGAAACTCCGCTTTTGAGTTTGGATTTACCGTTTCTCCCGAACTATGCAAGCTTTAACATAGTGGGGTCCAGTAATGGTTTGGTTTGTGGTATTGTGCGAATTTGTAATGAGACACAGCAGGAGGAGGAGGACGAGGACGAGGATGAGGACGAGGACGAGGGGGACGAGGAGGACGAGGAGGAGGAGGGGGTCGAGGAGGACTATGTTGATTCAATAGTAGTATGGAATCCAGCAACAAAACAATTTAGGTATCTTCCGGAACCTGTTCTTTTCTCTCACAGACGGTGTCCTCAACGTATATGGGATGATAAAAATGATCCTCTTCTAGGTTTTGATTTCGTACGAGAGATAAATCAATACAAAGTGGTGAGAGTTTTCCCGACACGTAATGGTGATGATGGAGAAGTAGTTACTTTCCAAGCCCAAGTGTTCATCCAGAGTACAAATTCATGGAGAGAAGTCGAAAACAAATTGGAGTTTCCATCATTTAAAAGATGTTTCACTAGTTGGGCGATTACCTTGAATGGAGTCTGGTATTGTTTGGTACTGCAGACGGAGTACGAGCTTGCTATTCTTTCGTTCAACTTACACGATGAGGTTTTCCATGTGATGCATCTGCCAGGAGAATTGCAGGATTTCAAGCACCTGGTACCATTATTATCATGGAATAATTCAGTTGCAATTCTAACAACTACTTCTTCATTAGATGATGAATATTACGACCAAGTGCTTTGGGTGATGAGTAGTAGCACTACTACTGCGACGACGAAGTCAGCTTGGGTTCGACAATTGATAAGCAGATCCAAAGCATTTGCGGCAGGACGCATGTTTGTAGGTGTATGGAAGGATCAACATATTTTACTCACAAGAAAACAAACACACGAAGAAGAAACAAATGATGTTGTGCCGCCGGAAAACTTGTTCGTGTATGACCCTAGAAGTGAGACGCAGAGAAAGATTCTCAACCATGGAGAAATGAACTTGTTTGGTATCGGAGTAAATTATGTGGAGAGCCTAATTCCTGTCTAGATCGATCACTTTCTCTCCATCGATCAACTTAGGTGATCAATGCCGTACGTGGGACATGTGGATTCCTCTACTTAAGCTGCTTTTTGCATTTCATCTTCATTTAGATTATTTCCCAGACTGTTCTAAGTTTTACTGTAACGAGAGAATTTATATGTATGAATGAAGTATGTATGAGACTAATCCCTTGTACAAATCCAAGTGGATCCTAGAAAGCGCTTTAGTGCTTCCTGTAAGAAGCAGATATTTGGTGCTTATTCCAAAAAGTATTTAAAGTGTTTTTAAAACCCAAAATTAATTTCACCAAAAACGCTTTCAATCATTTTAAAAACACTTGTAAATGAGCTCATAATTTCATTTGATTGTAGTTGATCATACATTTGTACGGCCGGCTGTTGTTTAGGTTTTGGGGTGGTGGTTGTTAATGTTTCTTGTACTTTTGATATTTTTTGTTTAGTTCAACTTGTAAGCTTTTGTAATTTGTTTTAGGCTATTTTGTTTGATGCTTATGCTTGTGGGTTCTTTGACTCTTTGTATGTGTACCAACCTTTGACTGTCATTTTGGAAAGAAAAAAAAAAAGAGTCCAAGAAAAAAACCTTCATAACTCTCCTTTTGGCAACAATTTGTAAGAGTTGCAAGTGTGTTGAGTGAAAAAAAAATGGTTAGTTGATAGGGGAGAGGGAACTCAGTGGAAAAAGTGTCATTTGCGTAGTTGTATGATATTAAATCAAACATAACTTTTTAACTCCTATTAAATTGTTTGATAAAAATACAAAAGGGAAAAAGAATCTGTTAAAATGTTTATCCTTCAACCAATTTGGTCCTGGAGAATTTTCCTTCACTTTCCTACCAAAAGACAAGCAGCCCATCCCTCAGTCTTTCTTTTTCCTAAAGCCCTAGGGCTAACAACAAATCTTTCGAGCATAAATTGTAGCGAGTGATTTCCGCATTCCTCATTCCCTCTATTACCACATGACAATGTCAAACTGTGATACTAACTAATCAAATCGAGACACGTAAATTATTGAGATGTGAATCAACAGAATTGAAGAAAAAAGAAGTGCACAACGAGAAAATAAGCGCGTGAAAATCACTTCTCCCTTTGAAAATTTGTTGGTCTAATCAAATCGAGACACATAAATTATTGAGATGTGAATCAACAGAATCGAAGAAAAAAGAAGTGCACAATGAGAAAATGAGAGCGTGAAAATCACTTCTCCCTTTGGAAATTTGTTGGTCCACTTCAGCCTGTCAAAAAATAAATAAAAATAACAACACAAACCACTAATAATCACAAGGATATCCAAAATCCAAACAGTAGCTTTATTGCTAGGTAGGAAGTTCAAGCCTTGAAGGCTAACCTAGATTATGATAATATTCTTCTTAATTAGTCTTTTAACAAACAGCATAGTCAGTTCAGGGTTCTACCATTCAAGACATAAAACCTGCAAACAGAATCCATAGTTTTTAAAGTGACCAGTTCATCTGCTGACTGGTGGAGTCATAGCCCCTGGTGTGTCCGAGTTCCATGTGTTGCTGCCTCCTACCCTGTTGAGACAGCTCCAGCACACCAGAGTACTGACTGCTAAGCGGCTGCGAGATTTGACCGAGACCCAGATCCGGAAGCATCTCGTGTGAGCTGCTACCATTTTCATTTCCTTTGAAACCCCATAAAGTGGTCGGAAAGTGATTGGAGGTTGCAACATGAGGGGTTGGTTGAGCCACAGGTATCCCTTGGGTGTTCATCAAGGAATTCATCCCGACACCTGATACTCGGTTTCGAGAGGCCCATGGTTGATTTGACAGAAGAGAGAGAGCACAGCTTGAGTCAGTGACTACTGTGATGCATTCTCCCGGAGGAATTCCAGGACCAGGATAATTAGTCCCACCTGCTGAACCTTGCATGTAAAAGCCAGATGTAGTAATCCCAGAGTTGCTATGCCACGGCTGTTGGAGAAACTTCCCTGCGTCATTGGCATTTTGAACAACAGGTGCTCGCTCAGAAGTTCTTGTTGTTGTCCATGCATCCCTCCCAGAAACCCTTGGGTATGCAGTGAAGTCCATCAGAAAGCTTCCAACTCTGTTGCTGTTTTCTATCATTTCAAGTAAAAGATTTTGTAGCAGTTTATGAGTAGGGTTAGAGGAACTGAAAATACACACATCTGACAGGTACAGAGTGAAACTTATGATTCGACCAAGAAAAAAAAGAGTTCAACTAATGATACGATGATGTCTAACCGTAGAGAGATGAAGAAAGTCGGCCAAAACGCGTAGACAATATGGATCCTGGTTGTGGCTTTCTACGACGCTCATTATGCCCAGCCAAACGTCTACGACAACTACGTTTTCCTTGGTCAAATTCAGGAAGCAAATGAAACCTGAGAAATGCAAGGTAAGAATATTATTTATCATTGACGTAGGGACTGAACTAGACTTGATGAAATTTGTAAACTAACAAAAG